CCAGCACAACACTAGTGGTCATTCAGTCTATTTGGCACCTCATCAGACACAGACCTTCAATACGCAGGGTTTCCATTTGCCAGAGTTTGTGTTATTTCTAACCAAACTTTTTGAGGACAACCAACAGGGATTATCTGAGGGGGCATCCAACAGTAAGGGTTGATTTCCAGCTGCATGTGAAGGCGCAGGTATCAATATGCCTCTTGAGGTTCTCCAGGTGAGTGAAGTTATTTTTAATGAATGAGTGAAAATGTTACACAACAATGTTACACAATAAGCGTAAGACAGGCAGCGTTTTTCACGCCAGACATTTTCCTTCCTCTAATGCGCACCGTTTCAACACCTAGTCCCGGAGCTTGCTCCAAATAAAGAATATCACGTGACTGATGACGTGCACAGCTTCAAAACGTCACTGGAAAGTTTTACAGCTAAATTCTGTGATTAACACATGTAGCTTCAGTGTCTGAGCCGTTTTGACCACAATCCACTATCAGCTTTGTTTTTACCAGCTGTGCGCAGCTTCTTCATTTCATTTGTGCACTGCAGTTTTGGAGAATAGTGTCCATTAACAGCACACAACTAATGAAGGTTTTATTAGTAACTATGAATACGGACTTTTGTGCTTATATTTTATTTTGTCACTTTTCTGTGTGGACATGCAGACAGACCTGATTAGAATTTGTGTGTAGTATTGATTTGAAACACATCAAAAAAAAGTTTAGTCTACTGTGGAAAGGGCACTATATGAGTGCACTAAATACTGCATAGATTTCACACAATTTCACTCCAATAAAATGGCAGGCAGAAAACAGTGAACTCTATAGTAGATAATTATTATTAATAACATTTATAATTTCTGCATTTTGCCTGTTCCAGGTACCTGACTTGTCATTGTAATAAATACATTAAAAAGTGAGACTGAAGGGTTGTTCATCAAAACTGAGTCTGACTTGAAGTACAGTTATTATTTTTATTCATCAATAACGATCCAGTGATGACAAAATGTGCTTCTTCTAGGTTCCTTTCTTTTTGTTATTTGAACTCAACGCTACAGTTTTCACTTATTTTGCCTGATAAGCCTGTCTCACAGGAGGATAATTCACAGGTCTTATCTGTTAGGGCGTGGCCACTTACACCTGCACCATGACGCGTAAAAAAAAAATAGGCTTTCCACCTGTGATCTTGTTGTCATTGAATTGCCGTTGTTCACGCTGCAGACACCAACCTCTGGCCTCTGTGGGCGCTGTGGTGATGCTAGTGGTGTGCGAGGCAGTTGAGGAGTCCCAGCCGCCACTGCTCTCCACTACCCTCTGGCCTGCACACATTGCCTTCAGGGTCTGGAAGACCGCTTGAGGAGCCACATTCATCTTTAACAGGTCCACTATGATCCTGGGAGGGCAAGAAGAGGAAGTGGTGAATGTGAAATCAAGGTTTCCTCCGGTTTATTACTCTATATGTACTACAGTCATGTTTCATTAGGGGTGGAATAAGTATTTATTTCTTTTAAGTAAAAATACCAATATGACAATGTAACAATACTCAACTCTAAGTAAAAGCCCCGAATTCAAAATCATACTCAAGTAAACGTAAAGTAAAATAAATGGCCCCTTTGACTGATTCATATATACTTTGTATATCTTTAAAACGTTTTTTGTATATTTGTATTTTTATATTTATGTTTATGTGTACTGTTAAACACCAATTTGCAATGTGAAATTCCTTGTATGTGAAAATGTACCTGGCAATAAACCTGATTCTGGTTCTGATATATTATTATGTTTTACCATTAGATTGTTAATACTGATGCATCATTTGCTTAAACTGCATTTTACTAGTACAAAAGAAGAAAAAACAAAGTTCTGCCACACAAATATTCTTCTTTTGGACTACTAGGTACTTTCAAATACAATAATAATTGTATTGCATCTGAGAAGTTTTAGTGACAAACCAAAGGTCTGAAACCACTAATTTGCTAATTACCTATTTATTGTATTTTATAAGTGTATCTTGTGGTTTTTATATCAAATTAATGAATTTTGTTTTTACTTAATTTTTTTGTTGTAGCAATGCCTGCTTGGTAGTTACACTCATCAAACTAAAATCATGTTTATTGTGTGTCTATTTATTAGGTAAGCTACTTCATAGCTACAAGACCTTGGGTTAGTTTAGTTTATATGTTTTCTTTGAATTTCAGTACGTGTCAGACACACACACACAGTAATGTTTAATTGTTTTATTATATTGTTCAAAGTGTAGACCTGTAGACTTCCCTGCGGGCCCATGAGGCCTGCACTCCAGGAGAGCCATATGTCTGTTACCACTTTGCACAAACACACACAATAATATGCAGTTGGGATAATACACAGTTGCACATTTTGTAAAATTTTATTATTATGTTCACTATGTCAGACAGTAACTATGATACTTGGAGCACTCCTACCTACACACAAAGTGTTAAAAGAGCTTTCAATATAATTTTTTTGTCATATTCCTTATTACGTAATTTACATTTCAGCCCAGGTTATGTTACAACTAAGTGAATTGTAACCATAATTGTAACGTTTCACTCCTTGTGTTTGAGACTAAACCATGCATATCCTGTCTGTGTTGCAGAGACAACAGTTACATAATTTAATTACAGACGCGAGCAACAAGTTTGTATCACATTTTTAATTGCACTGGCTTAAAAGAGCTCCGGGATACAGACATAAATGTCAGAAATGTTACAACCAGGTCTCCCCTACAATATTTCCATCTGAGATGTAGTGGAGCAAAAGTATAAAGTAGCATCAAATGAAAAACTCAAGTATCAGTACCAAGTAGGCCTACAGCACTTGAGGAGTGATTCCTCCACTGTGTGTTTCATTGGTTATGTTACACTTACTTGAAGACCTCTTGGTCCACAGTGATCCCCGCAGCCTGGGTCAGGTCAAACAGCTCGGTTTCTTCAGCACTCAGGACTTTCTTCTTCTTGATGGCATATTTCTGCACGTTACTGGTGACCACCAGCGCTGGGGAGCTGGGGGCCGAGGGCACCGTCTGTTGTGGTTGTTGAGACATCAGTGGTGGATACCTGAGTTGACGTGGATGGGAAGGATGATCAAATAATAGTGTCATTCAATCTGCATTAAAAAAAAAAAGGCTGTAAGGTCGGCTGCAGTTATCTACCCGCCCAGAGTCCCTTGTTTCGACCTCCTCTCCAAATACTAGCAAACACGTGACCAACAGACCCGAAGCTCATTAACATACCAAAGGAATGTGTTAGCAAAATGAAAAATACCTGCCGTGAAATCAGCAGTGATGAGCTTTTACAGTAACCACAACAGCCCCTCTTGGTTGGGGTTGAGCCAGGCAAGGCGCGTCAAAAATACGTCATCACCATAAGACAAACCGTGTGGTCTTGTGGGATTTGTAGTCAGAACGATAAAGTATTGAAAGCGTGTGTTTAAAATGTTCTCAAATAAAGCTTGCAACAAGAACTGTTATATAACAAATGGAAATGCTTTGAGAATGGTTTATTCGTACAATAAGAAAACATGCAATGCAATGTAAATATAGAACAAATGTCCATTGTCCAAAATTTAAGCTAAAAATAAAGCTACTGATTTTTAATTGTCACGTGTCACCTGAATTTTGTGTTTCTCTTTATAGAAAAGACATTTCCATCATAAATTGGTGCAGAAAATGTCTCCCGAATGCAGGAAATCATGTGTTTAATGCATAGACTGTATATAAAAAGGTTCAATGCTCAATCCTCCACTCATTTATTTCAGCATGGAATATTTCTTCAAAATTGTATATTTTATATTTCTCGTCTTGTTCTCGTCAACCCAATATTGTGTCACCATTTTCCAACACAAAGTGACGCCCTGTAACACTAAAACATTTACAATTCAAATCAATTTTTTTGTCATAAACAAATGTGACATCCTGACATCTTAAGTACCAAAAGGGGTAGGGGAAGGGGACATAACATTAGTTCTCTGCATTTAACCCATCCTATTTAGGAGCAGTGGGCTGCCATCGTACGGCGCCCGGGGAGCAGTTCGGGATTCAGGGCCTTGCTCAGGGGACACCTTCGGCATAGGATCGTGCAGGACTTGAACTGGCGACCCTTCGGTTTCGCCCCTTTCAAAATCTCTAGATTCCCTCATTTGACAAATTCGCAAGGGTCTGCAGAACTGTGATGCAAGGGTGACCCACCATTTTAATCGTGGTGTCTTCTCTGCCAGGTAAGTATCTTACTTACATTATTATTATTACATTATTTTTAGTTAAACCAAGGACAACAAAGCTGAATTAAGATAAGCAAACATAAACATAGTGTTAGGAGGGTTACTTTGGAAATGTAATAGGTTACCGATTACAAGTTACCCTATTCATAATGTTAATATAGTGTGATTTTTTCAATTACTTTATATAATGAGTATTGTAACTTATTTTTATACATTTAATTAATTTTGATTACTTTTCTAAATTTCTGATGAATAGTTTCAACTGTTAACCATTTTCAAAAGACGAACGCGCTGCGCTGCAAATTTAAACCTAAGAACCACAAAACGAAAGCATCAGAACTGCATCAAACTTTCTTAAACAGCTGTGACGGGAAAAGGCAAAGGACACTGTGCACATGAAAAACATGCAAAGCAAAGACTTTCTGTCTGGTCACAAAGGCTAAGGTGTAATTGTGGTGCCTATTTGACTTTGTAAATGGTTTTATTTGGCATTGCAGAACAAATACACTTAAAAAACTGAATTTTTGGCACTACGCATGCGCTTCACAGTAGGACGTGGATGACGTCACAAAGTTTCTCACCATCTGTGAGAGGCGAAAGTCATGTTACACTTTTCTTAACACTGTCTGTATCGTGTCAAGAAACTCAGATGTGTTGACACAACAATAAAGTTCATTGTTTTACGAACGAAAGACGAAATAACGGGCTTGTATGCTAACAGGGCTTAAAGAGCGAAACAGGAAGTACCTGGGGGATTCTCCTCTCGCTCCTGCTCAGTCCTCTGCGCTGTCGTCCAAGAATGGCCGCTGCTGCAGGAATAAACAAGCAGGGCGCCGTGGCGATGATGGAGCCCTGTATCCGACACGGGAGGGGAGCTCATGGAAACACGGTTAAGGTTGTAACGCTGTCACTAACGTCCACAGATAGAATATGTTCGCAGTCAGTATGTTGTTTGATGAGTTTGCACTGAAGGATCGACAGCAGGCTTGTGTTCGTAGCGTCTGATTTTGTGTGAATGCTGCTGCGTTGGCGTTGGTGGCAGCGGATGCCAAACATTCATCTTGATAAGACACGAGCTAGCTACGAGCAAAGTAAAGTTGTATCACAAGAACGTTATTGGGTACTTCTCTCATAATGAACTAAGCTAGATGTGTGCAGAAAGGCTGATGTTTGTGACTGCAGTATGCTAACAGTGCTGCTGGGTGGTTCACCGTCGCTAGTTGGCGTCGGTCGACACTAGCTGTGCCTGCGTTGACTGCAGCTCCTCTGTGTGGTAGCATAGCTCGGTAACATGATCGATTTTAAAAAGTCACTGCATGCAAGTTGGAAGCAGCTTCTCTTAACTTTGTGTTTTAATAGATGTCAGCAAATCATTTTGTTTAAGGATCGAAATCAGAAGGTTAACCATCTGAAATGAGTCAAGGTGACTGCACCTCACACTGAGATGATTCAGTGAATCCTCATCTAATTGACTCTGTTATACCCATCTGCATTTAGTCCCATAAACTGTGAAATCAGTGCAAGCTATTAAATATGTCTCCTCATCTGACTTCAGAATTTAGTGACTGTGACAGACCGGGCTTTCTGGAAGTTCATCAACTTGTATATTCATTAATAGGTGCTGGAGTGTGGTGTGTGTGAGGACGTCTTCTCTCTCCAAGGGGACAAAGTCCCTCGTCTTTTGCTCTGTGGTCACACAGTGTGCCATGATTGTCTAACCCGGTTGCCCCTCCATGGTAGAGCGGTCCGCTGCCCCTTCGACAGACAGGTCACTGAGCTGGGTGAGTAAGAGGATTACTACAGTAACATGATAAAATATTAATCTCCTGTCAGAATGTTCTACATCTTTCCTTTTAAAATTGAGTTATCTTGGCCAGTTTCAGTACTTTTGGTTATAGGTCAAGTCTGATTTTTACCAGATTTGCTCGTTATAAATAAGACAATATAAAGCAGGCACAGAGGTACACAGGCGTATTTTGCCATCATAAAAAGGATCACGTGAATCAGTTTTTAATGATTTGGGAGTCTAGGGGACCAAAGTTGATTTAAAAAAAGCCCCTATTTTGTCCTGGAAAGTTTGATGTAGGTGAGGAAAAAAGTTTTATTCATGTTAAAAATCTCATTTCAGTTACAGCTTCATGCCAGTAGTGAGTCATAGCGATACCAGCACAGTTTGAAAACAATTCAGGGACTGAATGATTTGCTGTTAGTGATGCATATACACACAGTGAAGCTTATAATCAATGGTCTGATGAGACTATATCAGGGAGGTATTGATTCAACTTCTTACAGGAACCATTCTTACTGCTGCAGAAGTTGGTGTATCCAGTTTTCTGTGTATTGAGGGTGGAACTCCTCACTATTCGTTGTCATTTTGTCTGAAGGTGTTTTTCTTTTTACACATTACTTTAGGGGACTCTGGAGTCTGGGGTCTGAAGAAGAACTTTGCTCTGCTTGAACTCTTGGAGCGACTCCAGAATGGAGCTAGCAACCAGTCGGGGATGGCGGAGGATGCCCTCAAAGGCATGGGAGAAGTAAGACAACTGTTACTGTTTTGTAAAGTCTCCCTCAAACATTCGGCATCTTTTCATTCACAATTCATCTGTTCACCTAGTGTATAATTCGTTGTGATGAGGACGAGAGCCACACCGCCTCTATGTACTGCACCGTGTGTGCCACCCACCTGTGTGCCGAGTGCTCCCAGCTCACACACTCCACTCGCACGCTGGCCAAACACCGTCGGGTGCCGCTGGCTGACAAGCCGCATGAGAAGACCCTGTGCCCCCAGCACCAGGTCCACGCCATCGAGTTCGTCTGCCTGGAGGAGGCCTGTCAGTCTGGGCCCCTCATGTGCTGTGTGTGTAAGGAGTACGGCAAGCACCAGGGACATAAGGTAGGTCAGAACAAGCTACAGTCACAAGTCTCGTTTCCTTATCCAAAGAGACACGCTCATGTATTCCCCAACTTTCTTTTCAGCATGCTGTTCTTGAGACTGAAGCGAATCAGATCCGTGCCTCCATTTTGGACATGGCCCACTGCATCCGCACCTTCACAGACGAAGTGTCCGAGTACTCGAGGAAGCTGGTGGGCATCGTGCAGCAGATAGAGGGCGGAGAGCAGATAGTAGAGGACGGCGTTGGCATGGCACACACTGAACATGTAAGATGTGACGCCGGATTTCGTTTTCATCTAAGAACTCGAACGACTGTGCTCTTCCTCCGGCATTAACACCTTCTCCGTGTCTTCACCAGGTCCCCGGCACAGCAGAGAGCGCGCGCTCCTGCGTCCGAGCTTACTTCGCCGACCTCCACGAGACTCTGTGTCGGCAGGAGGAGATGGCGCTGAGCGTGGTGGACGCTCATGTCAGGGAGAGGCTGATCTGGCTGAGGCAGCAGCAGGAGGATATGACCATCCTGCTGTCTCAGGTCTCCACGGCCTGCCTGCACTGTGAGAAAACACTTCAGCAGGTATATTGAGGGCACTTTTTTCCAGATACAGATTAGCCTCTAATATCTTACTGATACACATAAAAGACAAGTGAGAGGCCTGATATATGTTGCTTCTTCCCTGTTTATAGGATGACTGCAGAGTTGTGCTGTCAAAGCAGGAGATCAACTGTTTGCTGGAGACTCTTCAGAAGCAGCAGCACCAGTTCACAGAACTGGCGGATCACATTCAGCTGGATGCTGGAATCCCTGTCACCTTCACAAAGGTACACACTGTCCCCACTCACAGCTGATCCTGGAGACCCGCATTGATCGGTCAAGAGTTCTGTCACTAATGGTAAAGAGCCTGTTTGAAACCCAATGACTGTGTGTTACTGTTCCAGGACAATCGGGTCCACATTGGTCCAAAGATGGAGATCCGTGTGGTAACTCTCGGGCTTGATGGAGCTGGAAAAACCACCATTCTCTTCAAGCTGAAACAAGATGAGTTCATGCAACCCATCCCAACCATCGGTAAATGCATATACAGTATAATCAGTTTTCTTATCACAGGATGACGTGTGGTTTCATCCACTAGAATACAAATCTGTTCAGTGTGGTTTTAAATAAAGCTTTTTGTCAACTTCTGTTTTTTATAGGTTTCAATGTGGAGACCGTTGAATATAAGAACTTAAAATTCACCATCTGGGACGTTGGTGGAAAACACAAGCTCAGACCCCTCTGGAAACACTATTATCTGAACACGCAAGGTATTATCTGAACTCTACATACTTGTATATTTTCACATTTTATGTCACACTGACATATTCAACGTACTGTGCAGCATTTACAGTATAGCATGGAGGGGGGGAAAAATCCTGTTGACTTGTGACACATTTTGGTGGACAATTAAATTTTTCTTTGTAAAGTGTAGTTATTTAAACTTTTGGTGAGCTCAACACACTGTCCTGTTGTTTTTATAACACATTGAACAAAATATATAGTTAGCTTCAGCAACCAGAAATTGCCCAGAGGGCAGCAAAACAATGTCAGTTTGAACTTGATCATGTTGGAGAATGTAGTCAAGCCTGAATGGGTCTGCACTAAGTACAGCTGGGCTCACTTACATAACAGAAATAAAACAGCAAGTTTTGCTTAGATAGAAAAAATTATTTTAGCGAAATATGAATTATGCAACACTACTAATAAGTAGCATTTTACTGGGTGATATTACAGGTTTGCTGCCTCTCAGAGATGTAGATATATTGCTAGTTGGATTTATCTGATGAGTGAGAGAAACACAGGTTCTGTATTCAGATTTGAGTGCTGCAGCTTCCAACTCAATCATCACTATAACTAAGTAAATACAGTAGAGTTCCCATAGGCAGATATTCACTCAGTGAAAATGCACCATCCAAAGCTGTTTTATTAATTTGATGCACATTAAAAACATAAATCCATAGCGCCGTTAAGTATTCACCAAGGCTGTCATTTCTGCCAAAGTTGTATCTACTAGATACTGAGTTGCGCAAACAAGTATTGGGCATTTCCTGTTCATTTCATTTAGATCATTTTATAGAGGCTTTTCACTTAACACATTAAAGGGATTTTTATGTTAATCATTGTTGTACTTTTTTGCATTCACATTATCTCAGCAATCTAGTCCAGTAGCTGAATTTTGCTTAGGAAGACAAATTCCCTTCATTAATACCAAAAATTATAAAAATGCACCCCTGTAGGAAATTATTTCTATTAACTAACTGATGAAGTGATTTTTTAAAATCTTTTCTCTTTAATTCTTGATGATTCTGCAGCATCACATTTGATACTTCAAGTGCTAATTGATTTCTAACACTGAATGGTGGAAGTTAAAGCTGCTCTTGGTGTGTGTGTGTGTGTGTGTGTGTGTGTGTGCAGCGGTGGTGTTCGTGATTGACAGCTGCCACAGGGACAGACTGATGGAGGCTCACAGTGAGCTGGCCAAACTACTGACAGAGAAGGAGCTGAGAGATGCCTTACTCCTCATCTTTGCAAACAAACAGGTATGGGAATAATAACCTGTAAATGTAACAACACACAGTATTATTAGGCACTATGGGGCAGAGAGGCATCATTTCAGTGTGAATTTCTGTGAATTCTAAATAACCTTGTCTCCACTCAGACAGAGATGATCATCAGTTTGCATGTTTGCAGGATGTTCCTGGCGTTGTGTCTGTGGAGGAGATGACAGAGCTGCTGAGCCTACATAAGCTGTGCTGTGGGAGAAGCTGGCACATCCAGGGCTGTGACGCCCGCAGTGGGATGGGCCTCCACGAGGGGCTGGATTGGCTCTCCAGACAGCTGGTGGCTGCTGGCGTCCTGGACGTGGCCTAAATGTCGCCTCCCCCCTACATTGCTGTTTTGGTCTGACTCGCCCCTAATGACTGAACCCAGCCCCTGAGCCCCGTTCATCTGTTCTCCCACCACTTCCAGACATTAACTTTCAAGACGAGACTGCGGCTCTAAACCTGCCATCCTCATCTTTCCTTCTTTTGCACCAGTGGGGGCAAGAGAAAAGATGTAAATACCCTCTGTAGCTTCACTGAATCAGGAAACTACAAAACCATCTTAAAGTCTGTCCTACCGGTCACCCCCACCATCTGAGAAATATAGTCGCTGGCTTCAAAACCTGAGATAAGACTACAAACTCCCACCCTGCTCCGTTTCTAAGGCAGCTTACACAGTCCAACACGTTGCTTTCTTTAGCTTGTCTTTGTTCTAACCTTTTCAAAGAGGCGAGCTGTTTATCCTGCATCTTATAGATAGTTATCTTGAGTTCAGTAAAATGTAACAATTGCTCCTTGTGCCCTGCCAAAGTGGATTTTCTCTCACGTTATTCACCATAACCACTACTATACAGTGACGGTAATCTCAGCTAAGACTGCAGAGGAGTAGTCTGTGTTGTAATTATAGTATATTTCACGTACCTTTTTGTTGATTCAGTCGACAACACATTAGATTATCCTGAAAAGTCACCTTTTAGCTAAATTCAGTATATTTGCAGGTAAGTGAGATGGCACAGAAATGTTCACTATGGTTTAAATGAACTCAGAGGACTTCCAGTGGCTTCAAACTGGTCAAATGTTACGAGTTTGGCTGTTTTCTCACTTTGCCTTTATCTAATGTAAGCAATAGCAGTTGATGTTCCATCGTTATGTGTTAAGTTTTTTTTTTTTGATTGTACTGTAAGAACCTATTTAATGCCACAGCTGGTCTTGAAATGGCGCACCAGTACAGTTTTGGTTTGAGTACAGTGTTTTCTGTTACATAAACTGTTTATTGAACTTATTTATGAGCAACCGTTATCTTTGATAAGAGGCTGTTGTGAGAAATTCAGTCTCTATACACCGATTCTGCCTCCGTTTTGTGTGGAGTGTCATGCACGCAGAATTTGTGGAATGCACTTGTTTGCTGCCTCACTACCAGTTTTCATTTGGAAGCAAATTAACTATCTGCTGTTTCTTGGTAGACTGAGTATCAATCTCAATAAAAAAAATTTAAAAAAGTGAAAATATTCCTATTTAAACAAGTCCTGTTTATCTGTCTTGAGATGGTACACCTTTAATTAACAGCCTTCTGTAATAATGTAATGTGAAACATTAAACCTAACACTGACACTTGTCTTGTTATTAAAGGAACCATAATTTGAGTCTAATTTAATCTTTATTCATTGCTATGTAATGTTTATTAAATGTATCTATGTACAAAAATACAAATGAAAAAAAAAAAGCACGTGAAAAGCCTTCCCACATAGTTTGTGAAAACATTTCCATTTGTTTTTAAAACGTAGAAGCACAATGCGCATTGAAATGTTTGTTACCAGTGGACTTGATAACGGCTTTTGTAAATTATTCATAATGTAATGTGTGTAAAATAAACTAATTGACCTTATTTGTTCTGGCTGGTAGCTTTTTCTTTCCGGTTAATAACTTGGATTTGGTTTCTGCTGGTTTGCAATGCACATGTTAAGACCTTTTATTAAACTGAGAACAAAGAAATAATTCTTACTACTATCATACTCAAAGTGTTCTTTAATATCTCATTCTGGTAACAAAACAAAAAAAAACACACTGTACAGGACATGTTAAAGACATACGATCACTTTATGGTGATGTTGATAATGCTGATGTCTTCATACGGTTTGTCAGTCTTGGGGTTCACTTTGACATTGGAGATCCTCTGGACTGCCTCCATGCCTTTCGTACACCTTCCAAACACAGTGTGCTTGTTGTCGAGCCAAGGCTGGGGGAGGGAATACAGTAGCACATAATTACTCATTAAGAAGATATTTTAAACCCCTTTCAGACATTAGCTGTTGGATTAATATTCTTTTGTCATTCAGACCTAGCTGTCCGTTACAGGACCAGTAGAGAGACATTTATGTGTCATCTGGTGTGAGCGGGACGCAGAAGTAAAGTAAAACCACCATTGTTCTCGCATACATGGCTTGCATAGAACAAACAAGATATAACATGTTAATTGTTGAGTTTAGAGGTGTTGGTAGGCTGATTTTTAAGCTTTGGACAGAGGCAGGCTAGCTGCTATATCCTGTTTTCGGTCTTTATGCTAAGCTATGCTGCCTGCAGCTTCAGATTTACTGTACAGGCATAAAAGTGGTATCAATCTTCTTATCGAATTCTCAGCAAGAAAGGGAATAAGCGTAGTGTCAAAATATTCCTTTAGGTGACAAAATGTTTTAAAGTCCTCTTGAAAAGGCAGAACAAAACATGCATTCAGCCTCTCTGAATCTTGGGCTGCTGTAGCTTTTATGTTCACACTGTTGCCACATTGGAAGTGTGAACGTAAGCATTACTATGTCCGACTTCATCGGACGGTCTTTGCGACTTTTACAGAATAGTGAGACTTGAGAACTTCTAAACCGAAGAGACCGAAGAGTGTGTGCCTGAAAAGGGCTGTAGTTGAGTTTGTGAACTACTAGGCAACTTACAGTTGGTACAACAGTGACGAAAAACTGTGAGCCGTTTGTGCCGGGGCCTCCGTTCGCCATGCTGAGCGTGTACGGGCGGTCGTGTCTGAGTGTGGCGTGAAACTCGTCCTCAAACTCTCCTCCCCAGATGCTCTCCCCCCCCATGCCTGTGCCCGTGGGGTCTCCTGTCTGAATCATAAAACCCTGCACACAAGAAAGACAAATATTCAAACATTCCTTACTGCAGAGTCAGATCACTGATTTTTTTTTTATCATTAACCAGATAAGAAAACTCACCTTGATCACTCTGTGGAATATATGGCCGTTGTAGTAGCCATTCCTGCTGTGAACACAGAAGTTCTCCACAGTTTTGGGGCATCTAAACACAATAAAGAAAAGTACTGTTTATATTGTGTAAAGTGTGAAGGAGACTTCTGAACAAAGCCACAATGTTCTCAAAAACCTACTCTACGGGGAAAAGCTTGATGTGGATGTCTCCCATGGTGGTGTGGATGATGGCGCTGTCAGACACTCTCTTGGGGCCCTCAGCCTGCGTGGCAGCCATCACCTCTTCCTTCGAGGGCTTCTCGTTAAAGATGTCTCTGTCCGAGTCTGCACTCTTTGTATCCTCCGGTTCTCTCTTTGAGAACTTGGGGGGAAATAATGAAGTATTACGACAATAGAACAAAAACATTTAGCTGTATCTTCTTAATTTGAATTTCAGTGAATGTTATCTCACCATGTAGAAGCGGTTTTTCTTAAACGCAGTGCAGAATATGGTGGGGTCAGGCTCCACATTATCTAAGGCAGGGTTGTCAGATGCCTTCATCTCTACGGTGGGTGCCACATGCGTGGCCTTTGCAACCCCCTGGAAGAGACACAGCTTGACCACACGAATGTTCTCCAACTTCCCAAGGATCCGTACACATCTGGAGGACAAGATCCAGAAACATTTATTTAATATTGTCCCTCAAATAGGTACTTTACATCAAGACAGCAGGATCGGCCGATCATAGACTTTAAGGTTTCCAGGTGCAGCTCAAAAAAAATGTAATATCATGGAAAAGTGCATTGTGAGCACCAGAACCAGAATTACAGATTAAAGGCTCCGGAAACCTTGGCAGGTGTTTTGAGTAAATGAGTTAATTCAAGCTCTTCTCAGGTCGACATTTCTGTATTATAAATTCTTCATTCTAAAATTGCAATAGTTTTAAGATACTGAGGTTTTGATTTCCGTGAGATTAAAACGTATTCTTCTTCCTTGTCAAAACATGCCGCCTACAAAAGTAAGTAATATTCTCTAAGCTCTCACTTTAAATTGGAAAAGCCAGGAACAGGATGTTGAGGATCATTATTTAATTAGTGTGGCCATTGTTAAGAGCATCTGCTAACTGAACTGGTCATCAGGAAAAACCCTGAAGCACACTTTCTGTCTCCACCTTCATATGAACGTACCTGTTGGTTTCCACATTGATAACCTTGATGCCCAGCATGGTCCCATAAAGCACAAAGTGGCCAGTCTCATCAAAGATGATATTTGTCAGTCGGATCCCGTCGACCTTCTCCAGCTCTCTCTCCACAGCCATTCGCCTCCCGAACTCCATGTCGGGCAGCTGCTGCCTCATCTGCTGCAGCTCTGTGAACATCTAACATATGAAGCAGGTGTGATGAGCATGTGAGTGAGCCACATCTGTTAAGATCCAGCCTGAACGATGTGTGAGAACGTACCGTTAATGATTCATCGAACACTCTCATCAGTTTTCCTGTCAGGAAGCGGAAGATCCTGACTTTCCTGTCAGTAGCAATGGTGGCCATTTTCTTCCCATCATGGGAAAACGCAAGACTGGTGGGATAAGTTTTTTGTTTTGCAAATTCATACAAGTCTGTGTCTGTTTTGTATTCCCAATGCACATGCTTGGGGAACTTGAATTCATTTGGGAGGCCAGTCCAATATTCAAGCATTCCTGCTTTGTCGGCAGAGACGATGACTCTAAATTTGGGATTCAGGCGGATTTGGGACAGGGGTGAGGAGTGCATCTTGTCAAACACGTGAAGGGGCTGGTTGCTTCCCCTTCCATCATAGACAAAGATCTTTCCTGTGGATTTTTCAGAGCAGGCCACCGCGTAAATGGCGTCACCGGGATTGTAGACCCACTCACACTGGCCTGGATGAAAGCTACACAGAGGGGAGAAGAAAAAAAAACATGTTACAGTAGGACAGATATGTCACTGCATCTTTGTAAACATTATACATGAAGTTCAAATACTTTTAGACTCACCCCAACTTCAGCATATTTATCATATCAAAGTTGACAACGTCAAACACTTTCATGGCCTGATCATCACCAACAGAACAGAAAATGGCCCCTTCAGAACTGACTGCAATGCTTTCTATCACGCCTGCAGAAAATGCAAGAACAATGTCAGTATTCATCGTAGCATACAATACATGATGTATTTGAGTATAAAATGTAAACACTAAAAGAAATGCAGGAAAGGCAGCATATCATTCCTTCTTGTCCCATAAGCTGCACTCAGACAAAACAGAGATCCTGGTCACTGGGTCCCGGCAAATGCTGCAATCTGCTGGTTCCCTAATGGATCATATTAAGCCTGTTGCTAAAAATCTTTGCGTCTGGTTTGACAGTAATTTAAGTTTGTGTGATCTTGTTTTTACCATCTTAGAAATATATCAAATATATACATTTTACACACCTTCATCTCATCACGCCTGGATTACTGCAACAGACTTTATACTTGCTTGACCAAAAATTCTATTGATCAACTCCAGACTGTCCAGAACTCAGCTGCCAGGCTTTTAATCAGAACAAAGAAATATGATCACATCGCCCCTATTTTAGCTTCATTACACTGGCTCCCAGTATGTTTTAGAACAGACTTTCAAATTTTATTGATTAGTTTTTTAGCTCTTCATGGCCTCGCTCCGTTTATATTTCTGACCTTTAAGTCCCACACACACCAGCACGTACCTTAAGATCCTCAGGCAGAGGTTTTGTCTGTTCCAGAGTCTCAACTAAAAACAAAAGGGGACAGAGCGTTTGCTGTCAGAGCCCCAAGGCTCTGGGAGGAACAGCCTGCCCGAGAAAATCAGGGCTGCTGAGTCAATGAACTCTTTTAAATCCCTTCTTAAAACATACTTTAATAGGAGAACCTTTCCTGTTTTTCTTTTAACTGATATTTAAATTAAGGGTTTTCTTGCTTTTTATCATCCATCTGGTTATCTGTTTTATATGTGTTTCATCGTCTTAGCACTTGCGAAAGCACTTGGAATGTGTTTTTTTTAAAGTGCTCTTCAAAAAGATTATTCTTATTACTATATTTTTGTTATAACAAATGAACAGAAGGATAGTGATAACTTCCATGTGATAAATTCAATGCATACCGAGATGACTTCGAAAGTGTTTGACAAACTCTATTCCCTCCTCCTCCTTCTTCTTCCAAAACTTGACATGGCCATCCTGGCTGGCTGTGATAATGAAGTCTGTCCTGAAAAAATGGAATATTAACTTTCATGAGAAACAGAGCCTGGTGGGCAAAGGGAGAGATAAAGTCATGCATAAAAGTATGTTGGGATGTATTCATCGTTGACAAACTCAGTGGTCAAGTTTATTAGAAAATCACTTACTTGGAGCAAACTATGTGGGTGATAACATCTCTGTGCATGTAGCTGCGTTCATACATTGCAGCAGAAGGCAGGTTTTCCAGATAGACACGCTCGTATTCGAGTACTGAGAGAAACAAAACAAAACCACCCAGGAGTTAGCGGGACTCTGGTTAGCATGGTTAGCATTGTTTAGCAGATGAAACATCTAACGTTAACTGCCACAAACGAACCTTTCCTTTTCTTGGCTTTAGTAGCTTCGTTTGGCATGGGTCCGACCCATTCGTCTCCTTCTCCATCGCCGTCGCCGTCCCCATCTCCATCATGATTATCATCTGCTTTTCGCTTAAGTTCCACATTGTTTTCTGCCGCCGCCATTGCTGCCAAATCTTCCGTGTTGTCCTTTCTGGTAACGGTACTTCCGGTCGGCGCCTGGACTTTCTAAATTTTCTTTTGCTGATTTTAAGTCTAACTCCTTAATATTTTCCTAGAGATTACTGATTTGTCACCTAAATCTTCCTGAAGAATATATTCAGGTTGGCTTTGCTTTAATTAATACAATTGGGCTGCTTACTTGCTTTAAACATAAATACATTATACATCGACGTCAACTGCTTAAAATATTTGTTCTACTGATCCCAACATAAATCAGCATCACAACACGGTGATATCAGTCAATTGTTTTGTTTTTTTAAATATCTATATCAGGTTTAAACCATTAAAGTTGAAGTAATTCAACCGGGTTACATATAGTGGAACGAAAGTACTCTGTTGTTCCCGAGGGTGCATTGTTATGGAACACGTGGGTCAAACCAAAAGTCAACTTTAGGGGAGTCTATAATATTGTTTGGGATTGTTCTGTCACCTGCACTTGTACAGGTTGTTACTCATGTGAATGAATTATCCACTAAGTGTAAATTGAAAACTAAGTAAGTGATTTAATTTTAATATTTCAAGAAATTAAAAATAAGCAGTGCGTTTTTTAAGTGAGAAGCCCCCCCACGCACTCTGAAGTAAACAATAATCTTACATGTTTGGCCAATATGGCTGTAGCTGGAAAAGTATGATGTTTTCTACTTGCAAAGCAAGCTAATTTAACAAACGTCACATACTGTTTTATATTTTAAGGTATCAGACGGTGTGAAAAACACAATTCTCTTGCTTCAACGACAAACACAACCTCAGCGGCAGCATGAGCAATATTTACATTCAAGAGCCACCAACAAATGGAAAGGTGAGCGCGACTTTTTGTAATTTAACTTTCATTTTTATCCTTTTACGTGCATTTCAAACAAGATCCCTCAATATATGCTTTAATTTTAAAGTTTATAACGTTGAAGACGTGTAGCTACTTAGCACGTTTCAATGATCACGGTTAAAATGCAGCAATGTGATAAATTACACTTGTAACTTTACACTAACGTTACTACAGTTCTAAAAGTCGTAATTAATTAAAACACTGATACTTTAAAATGTCAATGTACATTATGTCTTGTAGCTAATATTATTTGTTTCAGATGAAATGTTAGAGGGAATATTTTACTCCCTTTACTGGTAAATGTGGAAATGTGGTTACAATGTAATCTTTTCTTAGGTCCTGTTGAAGACCTCAGCAGGAGACATTGACATTGAGTTGTGGTCCAAGGAGGCTCCTAAAGCATGCAGGAACTTTGTGCAACTGTGCATGGAAGGTAAGAATTAAAAAGTCAGCTTCCTGTCTAACACACTGCAGAAGTTTTAAAAACAAACCTGCTAAAGAGCCTTCATTACACCAGTCTCCCAAACGCATCTGCCCAGTTTTTAGAGGTCTGCTTTTACCTTCAAATATACACATCAAATATTGTGCATGAAAAATTCTGCATCCATGTTGCGATTTATATTTCTTCAGATGTATCTGAAAAGACACCGCTATTGACGAACTTTTTATAGTGATATAAAAGGAAGAAGAACAATATATTTATTTTTATAGCACTTTTCGTTGCAGGTAATAAAGTGCTTTATAGCGATCAATGTAAAACATAGACACACACAGTATCACGCACAGTGGTGTGCAGCGAATAAAACATAAAACAAGTTCATGTACAGTTAAAGCAAAAATGTAAATTACGCATTACGTAGTGGTTTGATAAAAGTAAATAAAAATAAATTTAAAATAGTCAATATGGACTGAAGCTAATCACACTTTTTCTGGGGTATGTGGTATGATGGTACTTGCAATTTTAAATAAATATGTTTCCAAAATATACAACAGATGTTATTCTAAAATTATATTAGAATATGCATTCCTCATCCTTGGTGGTGGTGCAACAGTAGGGCTTAAAGGAAATCCCTGTCAATTAAAAATGTGGATTCATATTTAGTGTTAAAATGTTGAAGTTCATTACATTGTGGTTGTGGTTCTATACTTTACATAGAAGTCTAAGGAATTTATATTTTATTTCATGATAGTATAAATACACTTTTAATTATTTTTAATAGTTAATAAGATCTCTGTTTTTAGACATCCTGACAAAATGTCCTTACATGTGCTCACCTTTATGTTGTATAAGTTTCAACAGACTTGTCTCAGACCACTGAGTTCTACGCCCGTGGTTGTAGCTGATTTCATCACTGGTTTGATTATCCACTCATTAATCTCACTACATAGAAATGGAAAATGGATAAAATGAATAGATTTTTTTCTCACAAACCTAGCATTGGTTATTTAACATCTGACATTAATTTCTTTGGTAATGCTTCTTTTTATGGGTCCATAAATTTCCTGAATGAACTATGTTATTTGGTACTAATTATAGGAGCAAAAATAATGTTATTGAAAGAAAAGCTCAATTTAAACCCAATTAAATATTAATTTATCACTGTTTTTTTATCTGCCTGTGAAAACAAACAAATGACCAGCTGTGCAATGACTTAAATACTCTAGTTTAGGCCAGCAATTAATTGCAGTTAATTCACTTGTTCCAATTGAAGACTGTTTTTATTTTTCTTGTAATTACTACATTAAATGACATCGTTATATAACTCATGGAAATAATTGGGAAATTGTTCAGAAATTACAGGCCTGTGAAATAAAGTGTTACCTTATTGTCTTATATTTCTGTATCCTCTAGGTTACTATGATGGCACAGTGTTTCACAGAGTGGTGCGTGAGTTCATCGTTCAGGGGGGAGATCCCACTGGAACAGGGACGGGTGGAGACTCCATCTATGGCCGGCCATTCAAGGTCAGACTGCTTCTCTACTTTTTGATTGTTCTGTATGAATCTGTATGAATGAAAAACTAACTCCTGTGCCCAAGGAAACATTTAGAGGATGTAGCTGCCACTGAAATCATCTTTCTGTGTCTTTTAAAAAAAAATCTTTTAGGATGAATTTCACTCCAGATTGCGCTTCAATCGGAGAGGTTTGGTCGCCATGGCAAATGCTGGGCCGCATGATAATGGCAGTCAGTTTTTCTTCACCTTGGGACGTGCAGATGAGCTCAACAATAAACACACCATATTCGGCAAGGTAAATCTGAAGAACTGTAGCAACCTGTATAAATATTTTCTGTCCGGGTCCAGATTTTTGACATAGGATGTTACTGTCTGCGTGAAACACTTCCCGCATGCTTGGACCCAGATCAGCGTAACGTTAAGAAATCATCAAAGTGTACTTGACCATTTGTGCTTCTCTTTTTTTTTTTTTTTACATTTCCAAACGCAGGTCACAGGAGACACCGTTTATAATATGCTCCGACTGGCAGAGGTTGAATGTGACGACGAGGAAAGACCTTTGAATCCTCACAAAATAAAAACGGCTGAGGTTTTTTCTTCTCGTACTACTGTTTTACTTGCTTGGCGATTATTTGTGTCTGTGGCTTTAAATACTGATGTAAAGACCTTTTGTCTCTTCCAGGTGCTTCATTCTCCATTTGATGACATTATACCCCGTGAAATAAAGAAAACCAAAAAGGAAAAAGACAAAGAGGAGGGAAAGAAATCACAGTCAAAAGCCACAAAGTGAGTGCTCAGACTTCATTTGTCTTTCCGATGTTTTATTGTCTGTATTTTTACAAATGGTTATTTAACAATGTGACTATGACAACCAGTAAACCTTAATACATGCTGTAACAGAAGTTGCCATAATTCATTGATCATTAATCTGGTCACAGAACGATTTTTGAGCTAGTCGAGAGCACAAGATGAAAGTAGCAGTTCCTGCTTGAGTCAACATTGTAATGTAGTTCTTTGTTGGATATCCAGTTAGGTAACGTGATTTTTCAGACCTGAACAAGATATTTTGATGTTATATATTGTTCTTTTCTTATGCTCCTGATTCTTCTTACAGTCTTGTTTTCATCTTCAGTCTCATTGGGTCACTGGCGCTATAACTCATTTATAACGGCATGTTGATTTTTGCAGGAACTTCAGTCTGTTATCATTTGGAGAGGAAGCTGAAGAGGAAGAGGAGATGGTGAATCAAGTCAGTCAGGTACTGAAGTGGCCGTCTCTCTACTAAATAGTGATGTAGCAGTGAAATTACTTGACTATTGAGTTCTACTCGCTGTCAGACAGACCATTAATTAAAACTGACCATGCCTGCCATTGACTCTTTTGTCAGTCAGTCACACGCCACAACTACAGGGATGGTCCAGGTTATCATTTCTGAGCGAGTCTAAACGAAGCCACATGTTTAATCTAATTTTTACAACATGAAACATATAAAAATCAATCCTGTTTTGGATTTAGTGCAGGCTATAAGCAGTAAAAAGCAGTGAAATCAGAGCTAACAGGATTTATCTAGTTATAAAGGTTAGTCAGTATTTTGGCCTCAGGTTCCACCATGTCACATGATTTTAATTCTGGTTCATCTCAGACAATGGCAAATAATGCTGATGGGAGCCATCTGTAAATCTTTTATGCAAGATGAATGTTTATAATCACTACATATGATGGTTCTGGCTGGGCAGTTATACTGAGTATACTGTGCCACAATATTTTAGAATGAAAAGTTAGTCTGCCTGACTAATCTTTGTGGTAATTGGACTTTGAAAATGTAAATGTCTTTGTTTTGTCTTCTGAAAATCCTTGTTGTTCTTAATATTGCTGATTTTAAAATATTAAAATGATATGGAGGTTAAAGAAATAGATGTTGCATTGAAATAAATAAACAAACTAAATCAGCTGCTCACCATTGTTTATGTTTCTTCAGACTCTAAAGGGAAAAAGCAAAAGCAGCCATGACCTCCTGAAAGATGACCCCAGACTGAGCTCTGTCCCAGCAGTTGATAAGTACGTACAAGGACTCATTTAGTATAATTATAAGCGCCTTCTCCTACAACGTCCTTTTCCAATATAAACCTATACTCCTTCTACCTTAAAGGGTAAAGAAGAAGGGGACATCAGGAGATACAGCTGAGGTACGTCAGA